GCGTACAATGTGGGGGAAACGTAAGGAAAATAATTCCATTCTCTCTACAATATAAAATAGTTTCGAGACTGGTGTGGGACTCATGGTTGTCCAAAACAATCAATATAGGTTCATATTTCGTACATTTCGTATGCTTCTGTATGTGTTTAATTAGATCCAAGAATAATATAGATGTCATCCATCCTGACCCTGATTTGTTGGCTAACCCAAGACTTCCTGTGGGCGCACCTTTCATGAAAACATCCTTAAATTTTGCTCTTGGGAACACATAGACAGGAGGAATTGTATTACCTACTCCACTTATTATAGCGCAAAATGTAACCAGCTCTCCCCGTTCGGCGGATACTGCCTGACCCACTTGCTTTGTACCAGTTTTGGCAATAACTTTCGGTGCATCTAGAACAGTGGCAACGCCTGTTTCATCCAAATTGTAGGTTCGTTCTGGAGGTATCTTATACTTTTCTAAAACTCTCTGTAAATTATCGAAAAATGCCCTCACATTTGTTTCATTAAATGCGGAGACTCTTGCCATACTGGTATTTTCTGCCTTCCTTAATGACAAAATTGGATACCTCTTCATGAATAATTTCATCCAATCCTTTCCAGCAGATAACGAGTCATTCCAGCTCGGCGGATACTTTAGATTCAGTTTTTTGGCATAATCATAAGCCAGTTTTTGAGCTTGTGTATATGTGAGACCATAATTCATTTTCGAACTTTGGATAAAATATTTGGCCAGTTGTTCTTCTTGAGCAGTTGTGAAAACTTGATGAGACGAATACTTTGACTGGAATGGCGTTGAAAATGATATTTGAACATCTGGATCTTGTCTGTCAGGAGCGTCAGGGTCTCGGTCAGGATATTCCAGACGTCGTCTCTTTATTTTCTTCACTCTGTTACCCACGGTCGATTTTGTCAAGTTGTATGTTATGGCTGCAGCTCTTATTGAAAGTCTTCCTTGCAAAACATCTTCAACCGCGGCAATTATATTCTCCTCCGATATAGCAGTACGATTGGTCTTCCTCTTGTAAGTCCTTACCATGTTAATGCCTGAAAAATTTTAAATTTTTTGTAGTAATTTCCCTCATTTTTCTCTGGGGCAGATTGGGACAGTGTCCATATGTGCCCCCGACTAGATGTCCCAATCTACCCCAATCGTACTTATAAACAAAGTGCGGTTATATAAACAACTAAAATAATCAATTACATCAGCACATACAGACATAGTAAGCATAAACAAGGCCACTTACCTTTAGAATTTCAATTCAAGTCAATTCTAGCATCCCCATGGAAGATATTCGATCTCAAACGATTTCCGATTTATTTACAACGCCGGCACACGTGCACTTAACAAAGTGTAATCAGCTACTGCGTTGCTTGACGCGCATGAAACTTTTCTACAATAAAATGGGTACGTGGTGCGCTCTAACGGTCAAACAATACAATTAAACTTTACGTTTAGTGGCGCTAAAATTTGAAATGTCCATATCTGCCCCGTGTCCCAATGTCCCCCCCTCTCCCCTACTTATGATTTTAAATGGGGTACAGGGTCATTTTTTATATTTGCGTGACCCCTGTACTGGTGAATATATGAGCAATAGGAGAAAAGCTTCTAATGCAAAAGTTGCATGATTTCTTCGTATCATCTTCCAGAATTGTCAAACAAACCAATGGGCATCCCAAAACCAGAAAATTTAAAAATCTAAGTACCTACTTATGTATTTTTATTTTAAATGACACTAACTGTATATTGTACTATCTTCGAAATCCTCCTTAAATCCTGTATTTATGATTTATCTTGATCTAATGGTTACAGCTTTGTTTCTAGGAATATTTGCTTGTTTTAAATGAACCGCGGACATTGTATCAGTGAATTTCGTTCTTAAAAGGATAAGTCTCTAGTAAGGCTATATGAACCATATTCATATTAATATTCATTTATATTATGAATATTTCGTGGAAGCTCCATCAAAGAAATTTTCTTTAATATCAAGGTTTAATTTCATAATATCAATGAACTTAGTTCATGTAACCGATGTACTATTCAACATAGATTCATGTAGATGACTATTCATAACTTACTGGTGCTTCATTCTTTATTCTAATGATAGCTGTTCATGAAATCATAATACTTACAGTTTTCTGTACTTAGGATTAATGAAAATTTCACTGAATCAATGAAAATGTATTTGATGAAATCAGTTCATTGATATTATGATGAAGATTTTTTTGAGTGTATGTGAAATTTTCAACAAAACAAAGTATAAACAGCGATTGGAACGAAACCTTTTAAACATCTTTATGTGGATACCTACATACCTATATCATAAATAATCAAAATTTCTAACAATCATTGACAGTTTCTCAAAGTTTAGTCAAGCTTACCCGATAACGATAAAACTGCCGTGGAAATTACGTCACAATTAAATTAAAATAGAAAGAGAAAGAAAGAATTTGCTTTATTGTCAGAAAATTTTACAATTTTGTGGACAAAGCTGAAAAAATAAAAAACAAAACATACAAATGCAAAAGCACAGACAAAACCAAACACTTGAACAAATAGTTCATGGTCAAAAATTGATTAAAACTAATAAACACTTTAGTGATCACGGAATCCCTAAAAAGATAAGCTTAGATAACAAAACAGAGTTTAAAAATCCTATTATTATAGACTTATGTATACACTGTATAATATAGAATTCCATTATGTAACTCTAGAAACCCAAATTCGAATAGTCCTACAAAAAGACTTTATTCGACATTAAAGGAAAGTATAACAAGTTTAAAATCACAGAATCCCCATAAAAATATAGTAGATTTAATGATAGTTGCTTTTGCTATATTAAACTATATGATATACACCCTTTCTGTTGGGGCGGTAATAAGACTGCGGAAATTACTTGAATGTGTTTCTATTAATCAGTAGAAGCTAGGTTATCACATATTATCACAGATTTCGTTATATTATAAATGTCGGAACATGAGGTTGCATTATTTAAGCTAGGTAGGTCTTTCCACTTCAGTGGACGTGGTAGAAGAGAGCATCGTCTCCCATCTCAAGTGCTCTGTAGTTCTGTAGCACTTTGACTTTTGGCGTTGCAGCGTTGCCGAATAGCAATTAATATTATAGTCAGTTCACAGGACACTGCACTTTCAAATCATTAAAGGATACCTAAATTACGCAATACCGATCGAACCATCACCCAATAAATTAATGACAGATTATATTAGAAATCTTGAGAAATCTTTAGCAATATTGAATGTAATAAAATATTCTCAGAACAAAACAAATCATTAGAAAAACGTAATATGAATCCAGAACAAGAACACCAGACCTACAAGAACCTATCTTTGTTAAACAGTTCAACAGAGATAAGATAAGCCCAAGTTATGACAATAAAACACAACCACGCTTTAGTGAACAGAATCTAAACCAACAGTATCGTCATTGTTTCAAATTAATAAGAAAGAACCTCATTCTCTTGATCATCCTTCTTATGGGAACCGCCCAAGCAGTATACATGATAAACAACATTGGAAAATCCCGTAGGTACTTCCTATTTCCCTAGGAACTACCTATATAATTAGTCAACAACACGGCATACTACAACATAACTATAAATATTGACAATTATACTACATAAATAAGAGTCAACATTAATTAAATTACCAAAAATATTAAATTATACAACATGGTCTAGTCATTTTTCAAAACTGTTTCAAACAAATATCGAAGCAAGTAAATCTTCAATAAAAATCAACAAACTATTAATGGTCTTAACAGTAAAAGAACTAAAAGAGGATTTTTAAATTTCATGGGAACAGCTCAAAAGTGGCTCTATGGCACTTGAAAATTTAAACGCAGAAGATGGAGCAAGATACGATTCTTATATCCAAACCTTGAACGAAAATCAACAAATACTTGAGAAAAATTTGAAAAGCCAATCCCAAGTATTGAAACAGATTACGAAAACGTTTCATAAACAATTCCTATAACTATTGAGACAAATCAGAAAATAATAATTAATAGGATACAAAACATTTCCATTGATAATTCAAAAAGAATTAATTTATCTTTGTAATTTATACACCAATAATTAATCCCAAACCATTTGTATTATATAAAATCTATCCTATACCAATCCAAGACCTTATCATTAAAAATAAGCATCCCTACCTACTACTTACGACGGATATTTACTACAACCTGTATATGGAATGCCCTCAAATAGAAGATGAACATATGCGATCAAGGAACACTGAAACAAGAAGATTCATGTATTTACAATTAAATTAGCGAAGGACAACAACAATGCTCCTTGTCAAAAATACATTATGAGAAACTAACAGTTAGGCAACTTCCTAATGATCAACTACTAGCGATCCCGAAGAAGAGCCTGACAAGCGAAAAAATCAATCACATACATTAATTAATGTTGAAGAATGTCAAGTTAATATAATTAACCAGACATATTCAAAAATTAATGAAAATTTTAATTTTGAATTGAAAATTCCGAAAATAAATATTCCAGAATTACCTGAAAATACTCCAATTGAGTTCCATTTTTGCCAAAGATTTGGCTCTTGATTTAAGAAGACGTTAAAAGTTCTTCATTTGAATTCTCAGGAGACTATAAAGACCCTGCTGATTCTAATTCTGTTAGAGACTCAAAGATTCTAATAAGGTTCTATTGACTTTAAAAATTTGAAGATTCTAAAACTCAAAGATTAATGACTTAAAACTAAAGACTTTAGAGATTCTGAAAATGATTTTGAAAATGAAACCTTAACCTTAATCGAAAAATGTAACAACTTCAAAGATTTTCAGGATCTTAAGCTAAAACCAAAGATTTCAAAATGTCTTGGAGGCTTTAGACTTCAAAATTTGAAGTGTAGGCAGTTATTTACAGCAAATTTTGGTTGAATTCGTGCTTTTATAAGAGTTATCAGAGTATCCTCAAAGTCAAAAAACTTCTGTCCGTAGAAATAATACAAAATTCTTACATAACTAATAATAAAATTTATATTTCGTAAACTTTTGTTATATAAAGAAAAAATCTGGTGCGAAAATATACATATTATAATCATTCATTAATACAATATATTTTTAGAAAAATCTGCGGTGCATAAAAATTAATACACAGCAACAATGAACGTTGTATTTTTTTTTTATCAATATATAATAACTAGGCACATTATAACATCCATATATGTGAAGTTTAGTAAATAGCTTAATATAAAGGTAACGTTTGAAAATAAACGTCACAAAAGAGTATAAGTATTCAATCGTCAAGTATTTGTTCATTCATCAAGGATACAAGTCCTGACAATGGCTTCGGTAACGGAATAAGGATCGCAATTAGACGAAGGCCTTCTGTCTTCGAGGTATCCCTTTTTGTCTTCGGCGCATCCACGCGGAATACGGATACTGGCTCCACGATTTGCAACACCTGATAATATGGTAATTTTCAGTAATAATAATTACAATTAAAGGAGTTATTTTCATTTACCTGCACTGAAATCGTGAATGGACGAGGTTTCGTGTCTGCCAGTTAAACGTCTTTCGTTGTCTTTTCCTCCATGAGGATCGTAGGCCTGGATGTGTCTGAGATGGTTTCTGCTCAGTTTGTCGATGGCTCTTTCAATTTCCCTATTGAATAATAAAACCTTGACATTATAATGCTTCCTCATTAAAAATGTCCCCTTCTAGCATTTATTTATTATTCAAATGAGGATGTAACAATCAAAACCACACACAAACGATTTAATCATTCAAATTGCGTGTTTTGATTCTTTAAATATATGATTTTTGATTATATTTACTTACAAAATTCCGCCGTCTTCTCTCATCGCTTTCGTTGAGAAGTTGGTGTGAGCTCCGGCTCCGTTCCAGTCTCCTTCCATAGGTTTAGGATCGAAGGTGACGATAACACCGAAATCTTCGGCTACCCGGTGCAAAATGTATCTGGATACCCACAATTGATCACCTATGGAGATACCTTCGCAGGGTCCAACTTGATATTCCCACTGAAAAAAAAATTAAAGCTTCTGTTTTATTCATTATAATGTAACTAGATGGTTATTCTAGCCCTTAATAAATATGACACTGAACTCATTATTATAATGGAAGCAAGTAAACAAGAAGAAACCCTACACTTATTATTCAAGTTACACTTTAATGTTTTGTAAAATTGCAGCCAACAGTAGAATAAAATTAGCACTTAAATTGAATGAACAAACTAATTGTCTTTATTCAGTGACAACGGCAGTGAAAACGAGATTGTTATTTTAGATATATAATATTTAATCCTTATAAAATTAAGTGGTTGTTGGCACCCTCCATTATCCAGGAAACACTCACTTAATTTGATCAAAGGTCAGAGAATGGCAGTCATCCAATTAAAAATTGGAAACATCTGTTTTCAAATGGGGCAACAACGTTTTCATTTTGTGTGTGCAATTAAATTAGCTGAATGAATTTCACGTAAAATCGAAATTAAACGATAAATCAAGAGCAATACTTTACACTCTTTCTCCTTTCCAGAGAAAAAGAACCTTCACGTAGGGGAAAGTGGGTAACATTGAGACACGGGTAACAGTGAGACATTCAAAATATTAGCTATTTCTTCACTTTTTAAATAGGTTTCGCCGCAATAAGACATTAATGATGTCTTAAGAGGAGTATCGGTTCTATTTTCAACCATCTTCCATTTTTAGTTTAGTCTGCAACGCGGAAGGGGGTACAACCTTTCGGTTATTTTTTTTTGTCAACGAACTTTTTCGGCGAAATTTGAAAAAACGGGAATTTTTTCTATTACGCATAGTCTTTAAGTGATATAAGGGAACCTTTCTGCTGTTAATTGGATTTATTAAAACTAAATTAAAATCAAAGGGGGACTAAAAAATGGCATTTTATTTATCAAAGTGATTTGGGTATGAATGAGACATGTTTAGATGAGTAACACTGAGACTATGTAGTTCTAGTAGAATTTGCAACTGAAACATTAAAGCAACAAAATGTACCTATCACTTGTTATCAGAAATCGATAGTGATAACAAAGGAGGGATTTTTGTTTCCCCAAATATCCAGATTTCAGAGATATTGCCACTGTTTCTAAAAGAGATATTAAGATGATTTTGCCAAAACCAGTGAATTACGGAAAGACTGAAATCGATCCTACCATGGCTTTGAAACTTTATCTGGGTCATTTGTAGAAGTTTGTTTCAGTTTATTCAAATAATTATTATTGTCATTTGATATAGTGTCTCATTGAACCCCCTGCTACACTTGATCTACACTTTAAAAATATTTTTGACCATGCGGTGATGCCGCTTCTACTCTAAACTAGTGGCAACATCACTATTTCAAATAAAACACCCCGTATGTGATTGCATATTTGGATTCTACGTAAAATTCTGAGCAGATTTCATGTGATATACCCTATACCTAATTTCAACTGTTTTGGAAATATTGACAGTTGAAAATTGACTTTTTGCAACTTTGACAGGCTGTGAAACCTGAACGGTTAATTTTAGAGGAAAACCGATTTTATATTCCTATCTTAGACTTTTATAAACTATCATTTGACACCAACTTTGAATTAAATCCATGATTAAAAATTTCAGTTAAATTTAATCTCCGGTTAAGTTCAAAGTTGGTGTCAAATGATAGTTTATTAAAATCTAAGATAGGAATGTGAAATCGGTTTTCCTCTAAAATTGACCAATTAGGTTTTACAGCCTGTCAAAGTTGCAAAAAGTCAATTTTCAAATGTCAATATTTCCAAAACAGTTGAACTTAGGTATAGGGTATGTCACATGAAATCTGCTCAGAATTTTACGTAGAATCCAAATATGCAATCACATACGGGGTGTTTCATTTGAAATAGTGTTGTTGCCACTAGTTTAGAGTAGAAGCGGCATCACCGCATGGTCAAAAATATTTTTAAAGTGTAGATCATAGTCATTTATCCCGGTTGACAAATTTTCAAAATGATCCGCTTTTTAGTTCTCCATAAACGTCTAATACGCCATCCACCGTGGGACACCCTGTATAATACCACAAGAGAAAAAATTTTGTTGGCAAAATTTTCGACTGGTATGAAAGTTTGTTGCTTGGCGCGAATTGACATTATGTGTCAAAAATTTCATGAGCGAAATTACCCAAATAGCAACAAACTTGAATAAAACTAAGAGAATAATTTTGCCTTACTTACATAATTATTTTTTCCTCAGTGGTATTCGGTTGGACTATTTCTACGAGAAAAACAAGCCAAAATTTTCATTTAGAAAAATTTATTTTTTTAGGTGACACCTGTCAAACTCATTAGTTTTTTACTCTAACCACACAAAATTTTGTCGCTGAAAAACCATCATTGTTGGTTTTGTCCAGAGGCATTATTCTTGACTTTATCTAGGTAGAAAATTTGACATTGTTGACAGTTAATGCACTGTTTAATGGTCAACGCAGTCAAATTCTCTCGAGAGAGAAAGTCAAGAATAAGGCCTCAGGTAGGAACAGGTAGGAGTTGTGTCAGTAGGAAACCGGCCGTTCCTATGACATTTTGCCAGTGTAAAACACTCTAGTGAAATAGTCATTAGAAAAAAAAGTGTCTCAATGTTACCCAGTTTCCCCTAGTAATACGTGGAGTCAGTGGCGCACCCAGGTTTTTTATTTGGGGGGGGGGTTTCAGTTTTCATAATGATGAGGGCTTGCCGCAAAAAATAAATTTTTGGACTAGTGGAAAATCTACTAAATTACTCTGTCCAGTCTTTCTATCTTTTTTATTGTTTAATAATTCTAAAAAAAATATGGATACTCAACGCCATCTAGGTATCATCTACCATGTTGTGTTGTGTTAGTTTCTTTTCTTTATTTCTTAGAATATGTTACACCAGCATGTTTATAAAAGCATGAAAGCTGGGTTTGCGGTTCACTTGACTGGAACTTTGAAAGTGACAGTGTTGACAGTTGACATGAAAGCCTCATTGACAATATTGATTGACATACCTACGATATGACAAGCCCAAAGATGATACACACTACTAAGGATGACCTATCATTATAAGGCCTACGTGTGTAACAAATCCCTTCCTCCCCAAACCAAAATAGGTACTAGTTGTGACGTAAGGAGCATGTTATTTCTCGCCTTGACGTAGGCTGTTTAAATAGCTGGCGACTTAGTTATAACGTCGGAAATCGTATCACACCAATATGGCGGCGATTTTCAAAAACGAGGAAGATAAGTACTCCTTAGAGTGTGTATTCTCCTTGTGACAAATAAGCCCACAAAAAAAAGCAAATATGATACACACTAAATCTATGCACACTACTACTACAAGATGGCCTATCCTCATAAGGTCTGTGTGTAACAAATACCCCGTCGCCAAATTACCAGTTGTGACGTAGGCAGCATGTTGTTTCTCGCCCTGACGTAGGCTGTTTAAACAGCTGACGACTTAGTTATAACGTCAGAAACGGTGAGACACCAATATGGCGGCGATTACCAAAAACGAGGCCGATAAGCAATCTTGTAGGTGTGTATCATTATCATCCTTGAATATACCGGGTGCCCATGAGATTTCTTTCCGGCTGCCATTTTTTTATTTGTTTATCGATATCAACGAAACTTGGTAGGCTTTGATATTTTAACGAAACGCCATTTTTATGCATTCAGGACAATTTTTCCTGACTTTCAGTTTCACCAGAAATGACCGAAACTTTTGATTTTTAAATGGCACACCCTGTATATTTTCTGTTTTTTTTGATTCTACAGATCGTTTTACGTTCTAATGTACCACTTTTAAATTGAGTTTTGTCCAAATTTCGTTTTCAAAATTAAATTTTAAGTAGAAAAAAAAAATTACCTACATAATAAAACAGAAATATTTGAATGATTATTCCACTCATGTGTTAGAAATCCCATAAGACAAGTGACGGTTTTCAGAATTACAGCGAAAATTCTCTTCTCCATTTGTTTAACTAGAGAGAATTACAGCGAAAATTCTCTCATGTTATTGTATACATGGTTGTCATACTAATTTTTGATACAAACCAACGGTTCCTGATAGCAACCATTTATTTGTATTTCCATATTTTTTTGCATTCTCATACGTGAAATAATCCTCTAAATAACCACTTGAGCTTTAAAATGAACCAGATAATTTTTCACTCATGCGTGTTTTTCTCTGCAAATTTCACTCGTCCTACGGACTCGTGAAATTATAGAAAACACGCAATCGTGAAAAAATTATCGGCAATTTGAAGCTCTCGTGGTATTATCCCCGAAAATCAAGAATAATGTCGTAGTGTATTTATTATATCGTTGGATTCGCTTTAAAAAAACTGCATTTAGTAATGTTATGAAAGTGATATGTTTCTATTCTAGTTTTTGAGCTAGAGCAAAAATACCAAAATAATGAAGTTTACAGCCCTCTATCAAAAAAGTTTACAAAGATAAAATTGAGTTTGTATTTTTCTGAACTTGAGTAAAGTATGTAGAGTCATTTTAGGATGATCATGGCACTCTAGTTAAAAAATTAAAATTTAATTTAAAAACATAATTTGGGCAAAACTCGATTCAAAAATTGTGCATTAGGACGTAAAACGACCTGTAGAATCCGAAAAATAAAAAATATACAGGGTGTGCCATTTAAAAATCAAAAGTTCCGGTCATTTTCGGTGGAACCGGAAGTCAGGAAAACTTGTCATAAATGCATAAAAATGGCGTTTGGATAGAATATCAACCCTACCAAGTTTCGTTGATATCGATAAACAAATAAAAAAATGGCAGCCGGAAAGTGATCTCGTGGGCACCTGGTATGCTGCCTTCTGTAAATTAACAGGAAGCCTATGCAAATACGTTGTTTCGAAATTTTAAAAAGAAGTATTAAGATGAACTAATGGAAGCGGAGTATCACTGAAAATCATTGAGTTAAAAATTCACTAGAAACCGTGGATCCCATTCCCATTAAACATAGCACTATTGTGGAATTTGCTAAAACCATTTCACTAGACAACTTTCAAA